CCGACAAAATGCCACAAAAAGTTGCAAATTGCGGTTATTGTGGCAAACACACAATAAATAACTTTATGCCAGAAATGAAAAAAAAAAATATATATATATATATATATATGTATTTGTGTGTATATAAAACCCGATGACTTGCAGCAAAAAGTGGCATGCGTTAAAGTTTTCCAGCAAAAAAAAAAAAAAAAAAAAAAAAAGTGAACTAAAATAACGTAGTCATCATGATGACGACGTTGACGATGATGATGATGATGATAACGACGAGCGAGAAGGCGTACAACTTTTTTGCATTTGAAGCGGAAGTGATTTCATCAAAAATTCATATTAACTAATTGGATTTGATGCCGTTTCAGAGTTATTTTATATTTTCAAGGCGGATATTGCCAGGAACTGCACTCACATACGTATACATACGTATGCACGCAAAGGGCAATGCCTAACTTAATAACCATGTTTATTTTAAATTAAAAATGTATTTACATACGCTCAAATGCCACGCTGAAGGCCAGCCAACGGCGAACAATTTGTGTTTGTATTCATATTCATATTCGTATTTGTATTTGTATTTGTATTACTGTTTGTGTTTGTATTTGTACTTGTATTTGTATTTGTATGCCACAAGTTGCCAAGTTCCATATACCCCAGTCGCACTCACCTGCAAAAAGTATGAGAAACAGAGCACAATTTATTACCTTTTGTTACAGTGTACATGCATAAAAGAGCAAAACAAAACAGTTGTATTATGAGTCTCCACTCCCGCCTCCTCACTCCACTCCACCCCACTCTCATTTTCCCTTCTAAGTTTACAGTTTATGGGAGTTGTGGGAAATGTTTATGGCGCATATAACTCAGTGGCTTAATTAATTGACACAGTTTATAAAAACATTCCCGATTTACGTGCTATGCTAAATATATAGGTGTATAAGTGTATGTATACATGTATGTGTGCTTTTGTAATTGTTATTTTTGTATTTATTATCATATTATTTATTAAATAAGAATTAGATTTTGATTAAATAATTTTTGTATATTTTTAATTTAGCTTTTTATTTATATATAATTTTTTTTTTTTTTTTTTTTTTTTTTTTTTTGAATACCATAAATAGTACATTTTAAGAATTTAAAATATTTTTAATATGACAAGCATTTTGAAATGCCTGCATCTCTAGAAGAACAGCTCAGAAGATGAAGGTTCAGTCATAAGGTATTTTATATTTATACATTATTCTACTCCATAACTTGTCATTGATTGCTGAAATATCTTTAAGGTACAGCTCGATAGACGCAACTCCATAGAGACAAAAACATATGTAATTTAAAAATAAATGATATTCAATTTGTAGGTCTTTGTTCCGATTTCTTCTTACTTTCCACAATTCTGTGAATATTCATCCTTGAGGATGTCATGATTTACAAGCGGAAGTAACGTTTTTATTAATTGATGACTGCGAAAAATGCAACAAGCAGCTTAAGGACTGCGAAAACACGCGAAAATGTGTCAGTTCAGGCAAAGCCAGAAAGCAAAGCAAACACACATACACGCATGTGTGTGTGCAACTGTAATTGTGTAAGTAAGAATATCCTGAATAAGCATGGTTTGTATGTGAAGCCAGAGCTATGCCTTGTGAATGAACGTGAAGAAAAATCGTCCAACTTCACAGCTGTTGTCGAGAGCTCGCGAAATTCGCGTCCTGGCTCAGTGCTCGCCAGACGGAAGGACGTAGCAGGCACAAAAAAAAAAAAAAAAAAAAAAAAGAAAATCCATAAAGATGAAGAAGAGTATTGCAAAATATTAAAAATGTTGTGCTGGCAAAGGAAGCAAAAATAAACGCAGAAAACGCGGCCAAACGAAGGCGGGCAGCAGAAATAAAGCGAAGTGTCGGCAGCTGGCAAAGGAGCCGCCCAGGATGTGCCGCTACTGCAGTAGACGCCTGGCACGAAGGACTGCTACAAAATAGCATAGAAAATTAATAATCGCGCAATTTTTGCGCCAGTAAACAATGGAGAAGTCTTGGCTCGTTAGTTTCCTCATTATTCTGCATTTTCCAAGACGCGCTCCCGCTGTGAAATGTGCTGCGAAAACTACAGAATAAAAATAATAAAAAAAAAATATATATATATATATAGTATTAGAAGATAGAACTGTCAGGCAGGATGAGCCGGAAGCACATCAAAAAAAAAGCGGCGAAAACTACGCAAATAATGAACAAGTAAGACGGCTCCAGTCGAGACGGCTCGACTAGGAGATACCCTGAACCCTCTAAGCTGATACTCTAATCATTCTGCACTTCTTTTATGCACACCTACATACACATGCATCCACACGCATGAATAAGCCTGCGCTCTGCTAACTGCGCAGTAAGCAGCGACTACGCTGCAGTGTGTGCAATATTATGAGAATTTATTTGTTGAATAATTTCTTTTGTAGACATATGATCTTAATGAAACTTTCTAAACGTAATTATATGGTAAATATGTGTGTACATTCCAAAGCACAAGTCTCTAGTACTTGAAATGCGTTTTTTACAAATTGGGGGCGAATGGGGCGTGGTATCCAAAATCTAAAAATTACAAAATCTTTGTATCGATTAACTTTATATACAACGCGAATTTGAAGACTCCAGGTCTAAAAGTGTTCAAATTAGGCTGAAAAAACAATGTCGATTTTTCGATTATTCTCGATAAAAAAGTTATCGGATGAGTTATCGAAAAAATATGATAAACTTCTACTGCCTATGGTATACACGAGTATGCATGCCAAATTTTGCTCTCTAGCTCTTATATCTTCTGAGATCCTTTTGCTCATACGGACGGACGGACGGACGGACGGACGGACGGACGGACAGACGGACAGGGCTATATCGACTCAGCTCATCGTCCTGATCAAGAATATATATACTTTATGGGGTCTGCGATGATTCCTTCTGCCTGTTACATACTTTTCACAAAACCATTATACCCTGATTTCCCATTTTCAATGGGTTCAGGGTATAAAAATGCGATTGAATGTCATTTTTCATGAAATTTGCTAGCCCTTTGTCTGGCACAGCATTGTTCCGAGTCCTGGACAACTGCACAAATGATATACAGCGTTGAGCAGGAGCAGGAGGAGGACCGCTTACAATTCACAGAAGGTATTGTGCATTCGAGTCTGCTTGTTGCATTTGCTCGCCCTTAAACCCGACGTATCATACCGTTAGTGTATATGACAAAATGGCGACACCTAGTTATTGTCAGCAATTAATTGAATCAGGGCCACAAACGTTTCAGCCAATACAGTGAAGTGCTGCGGTCGACACGACTCGACCGCTATGAGTGAAAAAATGAAGACTAAATAAAATAAAATACAAGTTAAAAGCAAAAGCAAAAACAATAACAAAAACAAAAAACAAAAAGTGCAGCCATGCAAATGACACACTTGCAGCCGCAATTCCCATGTCCTTGTTGCTGGCCCACAGTTAACGCACAGCTGGGCTCCCAGAGTGGAGGACAGACTGTGTCACACAAAAACTGAATCAAATTATGTGCCATAAAAGGACAGTTGTCCTGCGTGTGTGTGTGTGTGTGTGGGGAGGCAACTACATTATTAATGCACAATGAACTTGAAGTAAAGACGAGCGACGCATGCAACTAACCAGAAAACATGGCCAATTGAAAAATGCGCGAGCGTAAATTACATTACCTTGGCCCGCGGCCAGAAGCCCAGCCCAAATAACGAACAATATAAAATTCATAATATTAAAGTGGAAGAATGCCTAAAAAGTCAACAGATTCTCGCCCGCTTTTCATTTTGTTTTGCATACAGAAGCATTTGCTTTCCTTTTATTTTCGTTTCTTTTTTTTTCGTTTTCTGAAAACTTCACCTTTGAAGTTGTGTTGAAAATTTCTAATGACATTTTCATAGCTGTTAAATAAAAAATTGGGGGAAAAAGTTGAGCAGTTTGGCCGTCCGGAGGCACCTGTTCCCCAGTTGCCTCAGAATTGTATTTTAATGCGCCTGAGACTCTTAGTTAACATGTGCGGCGGGGCTCGAACGTGCGTTTGTCTAAACACGGCGCACAAAATACGCCGTGTGCGTGCAGGAATATAATCAAAATCTGTCATTTAATTTGGGTACAAAGGAGACAAACGAAAGTTAATCGTTGTTAATGCGAAGAGGTAAATCAGGTCGACTTCTCTACGTTACAGAGGCGATATGCTAAATAGGTCAACTAGTTAGAGGGCTCTAACTGTAGCTCTAGCTACAGCCAAATATATGTCTTGTTAAGCTAACTAGGAGCAACTGGGCAAATACATATTATTTATATAATGATGGTGATAATAATCTAATCATTTTTTAATAGAAATCAATTAATGATATATTTTCAGTGCATTTGTGTTTAAGTGCTGCCAACGATTTTTTTTTTATACTAATAAATTGAACAATTGTAGGTAATCATAATATAAATATAATATAATTAAATATTTCATATTTTAATCAATAAATATTGTATATATTTTTATAACTGTTTCAATTGACGTAATTAATTTAATTAAATTTAAATTTAACATAATTACAAAAGCAAAATTAATAATAATTTATTTAACATTTACGTGTCGGGGACATAAATGAAACAGAGTCATTGCAGCCATGCTTTACTCTAATGAGTATTTAATTAAAAAGCAACAAGGCATAAGTCAACAAGTTGAGCAGACGCGCATATTTCTGATAGAATTTCCTAGAACTTGCCTGCATCAGGAAATCCACTGTTAACTGCTAAGGCTTAGTATTTATCGTAAATTAATATTTCGAATTTTTTTCTTTTAAGTATTTCATTGTTATTATTATCTTAGCTATTCAATTATTGAAAATAGGAGTCTGCTTTATCTACATGTCACGTTCTGCTAAGCTGAATATTTAACGTGTGTTTGTTTCACATGTATATACATACATATATACTATATACTTATAACTCATACGCCTACTAATCCGAGTTGTCGCTGCTGCTGCTACTCACCTTTTATTTTATTCAATAAATGCGCTGCGTGTGGAGTAGCACACAGGGATATCCAAAGCACGTGACAGATTTTCTTGGATTACACACGCCGACACACGCACACATACGCATAATCACACACACACACGGGCAGGGTGATTACGACATTGTTGTTGTTGCTGTTGCTGTTGTTATTATTGCTGAAATTCACTTTGGGCGGCAAAAATTGGAAATTGGCAAACAGACACTTGAGGCGTTACCCGTTGCCTGTCAACACGTCAAGCCCGTCAGCCCGTTAGCCCGTCAGCCCGTCAAACTATCAGCCCTTTAGGCGTCACTTCAGTGTGTATTCATATGGCACTTAATACATTGGGCGATGGCTCGACGCACGGCATTCACTCGGCTCGTTCGATTAGCGGCAGATGCAGCATCTTAATCACCGATCAAATGGAGCATACAACAACGCGTCAACTCAGCGACGGCAAGCACCGACAGCACCGACAACAGCGGAAAGAACGACGTCAGCGACAATGATTACACGGGACGCTCACGCGGCAGCTGCGAACACAACTGGAGTCAACGAGAACGGCATGCGAAGTGGCGACATGTCGATAACGAGCCGCTGCCACAGCCGTAGCCGTAGTCGTAGCCGCAGCCGAAGCCGAAGCGGGCGCCACACACAGCCGAGGCACGAGACGAGCTCAGGCAGAGCACGATTTATGGCAGAGTGTGTTGCATACTCTTAAGAGCGCGCTCGCCTTATGGGTGTGTTCGGAGAGTGTTTGGGACGCGGCGCATGCGCAGTGCCGGCTACAACAGCGACACACCAACAGGCAGTCTAAGAGAGACAGCGAGAGGGAGAGCGAGAGAGTTTATGGCGTGCTTCCAATGCCACAGTTAGCTGCTGCTCATTTGCATGGCACACGGTCCCAAAGCGAAAAAGTGTTTGTCCCAAGCCAAACAGCTGTTGAGCTACTGAAATGAAGCCAATGGAGCAATGGGGCTAAACGTTAATGCACGCCAGTCAGCCACGTCCTCGTCCTTGTCGTCGCACTCGTGACGCACTCGTTGTGGCATGTCTTAGGTCAGAAATGTCGTCGTGGCTGCCACTGCCACTGCCACTGCGACGCCAGCTGAGGCAGAGACAGAGACAGAGGCTGCGGCTGAGGCTGCGGCAATCGTTGTTTGCCGGCAAAAGGCAGCATTTTTATACCCTGAACCCATTTTCAATGGGAAATCAGGGTATAATGGTTTTGTTGAAATGTATGTAACAGGGAGAAGGAGGCGTGGCAGACCCCACAAAGTATATATATTCTTGATCAGGGTGACGAGCTGAGTTGATTTGGCCCTGTCCGTCTGTCTGTCCGTCTGTCCGTCTGTCCGTCTGTCCGTCTGTCCGTATGTATGAACGCGTCGATTTCAGAAGATATAAGAGCTAGAGACTTCAAATTTTTTTTAAATGTCCGTAATTACAGCGCGCATATCAAGTTTATCATTAAAAATCGATAACTCATCTCGATCTTTTTTTATCGATAAAAAACCTTATCGAAACCCAGTTATAAAATTATATCTTCTACACCTTTATTGCTAGAGTCTCCAAATTTTTAATGTATGCTTATATGCAATTTATACAATTTCGGTTTTTGTTAAAATTTACCCCCCACCTCTAAATTCACCCCCCTCACCCTCACTTTTGTAAAAAGCGTATTTCAAATACTAGAGACTTGTGCTTTGGCAAGTACATGCATATTCATGTTATAATCATAATCTAAAAGTTTCATGAAGATCGTACGTCCATAAAAAAAAGTTATTAAACAATTAAGTTCTCATAGTAAGCGCACACTGCAGCCCATGCGTGTTTATGCGTGGGTGCTTGTGTGTGTATGTGTGTGTGTGTGTGTGTGTGTGTATGCGTTTGTGTCTGTATGCGTGTGTGTGTGTGTATGTGTGTCTGTATGCGTGTGTGTATGTATACCTGTGTGTGCGTACGTGCGTGTGTGTGTGTGTGTGTGCGTGTTTCTTGTGTAAGCTGAAAGTCGCGAAAAAGTATTGAAATATCTATTGCTCCAAGGGTTCAGGGGATCTCGTAGTCGAGCAGTCTCGACTAGAGCTTTCTTACTTGTTAATTATGATAAATGCCCATTCATAAAATGGAATGGCATTGCAGTTGCGTGTCACGGCTGTTTCTGCTGCTGCCGCTTCTTCTTCTCCTTCTTCTTCTTCCTCCTCTTCTTCTTATATGTACTTACAAAACGAGACTCTGATATAATATATACTGCATAATTATTTGTTTTATCTATGTCTGGCGGAACGCGCTCACCGTCTTCTGTTATGGGCGGCCCTCTGCTCTGCTCCGTCTATTTGGGCTGCTGTGCAGTTGACAGGCAAGATTTATGCGGCCTGCAGCCCGGTTCATATGGCAGCCCAGCGCCAGCTCCTGTAACTGTTGCTGTAGCTGTAGCTGTACCTGTGCCCGTGCCCGTGCCCGTGCCAGGTGTTGATGTGCCAGCTGTGCTTCAATCACCATCAGCGTCACTTAATAAAATCACATACAGCACGGCGTGTGATGAATTGTTGCCATTTTTGCAGCTGACGTCAACGCTTTCAAGTGCAAAGGCATTTAACAAGCGCTCGACAGCAATTAAATCCCATCCAAGCCAATTGACAGCCAATGAAATAAAATAAACAAATAAACAACACACACACACACACAAATCATTCTTAATTGTCCAATTTAATAATGAAGTGGCCAATTGAGTGCTAATTATCTGTGTTTAATTGGCTTAAGACTTCAGCTACGTTTGCTGGCATAAGTTAGTTGAGCTAGTTCTATTTCAGGCTAGGCAGAATGCTCTTAACAATAATAATTGATGTATATTTATATATGTTAATTGATTAACTTTATTTAAATGAAATCTTTAGTTTTTCATGATTAAGATCAAGATTAAATTATTATTAACAGAAAATGCATGTGTGGAGGAATAAATCACTCTTTTATTTTCATTTTTTTTACCTCTCCCAACAATGCTTTTATCTTCCTCCTCGAGCGCTGCTTTAGCTCTACTGTGCACTCTTTATATACTCCTGTAAGTAAGCTGAAGGAGTGGCAAAAGCTGGCTCAATGCAATGTTCGACCAGGCGAAACCAAATTGACCAAAGCTAATTCAAGCAATGTAAATGGAACAATGCTCGACGAGGGAAGGAAGGAGAGTGGGGACAGAGGCCAGGCCAACTCGAAGCTAGAGGCTACGTAGAGATTTTAGGTTGTAAGTGCGGGCAAATGCAATAGTGCAAATCAATTGGCGCGCCAACAAACGCTTCAATCAATTTTACTTTGGCAAACAGTGAGTGCAAAATAAATCACATCAGTCGAGTCCGACTTGCAAGATGCTCGAAGATGCAACGAGCGAATGTATGTGTGTGTGTGTGTCTTGCGCACACTCGTGTTTATCTTATTTATGCAAAGCTGTGGCAAGCAGCAGCAACAGCAACAATTGCAGGGAAAAGAAAGAGAGAGAGAGAGAGAGAGAGAGAGAATGGCAAGTGGCTTGGCAGCATCCGTCGCTGCTAAAAAATGAATGAATTCAATGAAATGCGGGTAAAGGTGCCCGTTTGCACCCAACTCAAGTCGTGGCCCACAGCGGTCGACTTCAGGATGTGTGTAGCGCATCCTTAAAGAAGTCCCAGGCAATGCCACATCAAACATCTCAAACGAAATGAATAATTTATAGACGCATTTGCGGAGCGCGGCTCCAGGGGCACCAGCATAAGATGGGCACGAATGTGAGCGGATAAGGCTAGAGTACACACACACACACACACACACATGTCGCGTAAGCCGACTGCAGCCACTGACTCTCAATTGAATGAAAAAATGTCCTCTAATGCCACGCATATACTAGTGCAAACACACACAGACACACACTCACGCTCACAGAATATGCAGGCATGCATGAACAAGTCAGGCCCAACTAGCTCTAGACCCACGTGAGCGGGTGTAGTTGCGTATACGTGTGCGTATGTGTGTGTGTGTGTGTTCCTGTATGGCAAAATAAAATACCAAAATGCAAGGACTCTGCAGCATTTATTTATATTTTTTATCACAACTCCCTCAGCCAAGGCCCACTTACGCCGGCTTTTTCAACTACAAGGTATGCACACTATAGGTAATTCGACGCACACACTCACAGTGCAATATGCATATATGCTTACGCACATGCAGTCAGGCAGACATACATTTATATTTATGTATATACATATATGAATATATGTAAATGCAAGGTGCACACATATAAATTTATACGAATTCATTGACTCAGCGTGCTCTGTTCTGTTATTTTGTCTGGTGGAGGATTCCCTGTACTTCCATACAGTCATAGTCTAAACAATTTAATATACATATTCATGCATAATAAATAGTCTTTCGACAGTACGTACAATATGAACTAGTCAGTCAAACCCGGATTAACAACAAATACATGCACAAAATGAAAATATATATACATATTATTCGGCTGTCAAAGCTGTCAAAACAGTCTGTGTTATATATGATTCCAGGTTCAAGGCTTACAAAATATTTTAATAACGTAAAAGAAAATCTCTGCTTAAGAGAATAAAACCTAGTACGAACCAACCCTTCAAATGATTTTATTTTTTATTGTAATATTTTCATGTCTTAAGCCTTATTGTCAAATTCTTTAATCGTTCCATTTGGACTCACAGCGTGTCGCCTCCCACACAACTTGGTCTTAAAACATACTTTTCATTCATAAAACAACAACTCTGGGCTAACTAGGCCCGCAAAGTTGAGCCAAACATACACATAATGTAAATCATCCACGACACATGTCAAATTTCTGCAATGCATGTCAAGCATGTAAAAGATACATAGAGAAACTAACCTTATATAGGTAGCTCACACATTGCCGGCAAAACTTTACTTTCGCCTCTTTCATGGCATGGGAAAAGTTTGCTCAGCTTAGCCCTGACTCCTAATGGCATCAAATTCTCAAGTGTTGTCAATTAAAACGATTTTCCAATGAACATTTTGACAGAGCATGTTGTGCTACTTCCGTCTTCCGTTTTCCGTTTTCTGTCCTCGGACTATTCGTAAAGTTTGTGCCAAAAGTTATAAAAAGATTTACTTATTTATTTTTGTATGCTTCTTATATGAAAAGTTCATCTCTTGAAATTGTTTGAAGCTGGCAAAATATTTATAGCTCATCTCAATGGATAATTCGCAGACTTGTTTGATTATTTTGATATGAAGATAAAAAATGTTTTGACACAAAGGGCCCCTCCCCTACATATCCAAGCACTTCTCAATTTTCCCGTTAGTGGAGCTTGCGGTGTCGTCAAAGGAAAGTTTAAATAAATGACTGCCGAAAACTTTGCTAATCTGCTTTAAAAATCCCAGCAACAAGCAAAAAGCAACAAGCAACATGAAATATGAAATATGAATTCTGAAATGTGAGATATGAAAACGGGAGAGAATGGCAACGAAGTGGCTGGGGCGAGGGAAAATGTGACAACAGTTGACTTTGACGCGGCGGTTAAAACCCGCAAAATTCGTCAATTTAAATGGAAAAAATATCTGCGCAAAGTTTGCGTCAGTGTGAAAAATATTAATTTAACTTTTTGCGTTAACAGAGCAATGACATTTGCCCCAAACCGCAAGGCAAGGCGCCCCAAAAGCTGACGCCCCTCTTCTAAGCCTTGTTTGATGATTTTTTTTATCTCTTCTTCTTCTTCGTGTGTCGATTGTTGTTGTCCTTTTTGACGCCAAATGCTTGTCTATTTAGAGAGAGAGAGAGAAAGGGGGAGGGAGGCAGGTGGCAGTGGACAGGCGGCCTTAAAGGTTGTTGGCCATGTTGTTGGCATCATTATCGTAAATTTTTATGCTAAATACATTTTGTTGTCAGGCCCCAAAAACCGAAACAGCAACAGCAACAGCGAGAGAAGCCCAAAACACCAACAGATACAAAAAATGGCGCCATTTGGAGCAGCTGGCGTCACGTGGTTGCAAATGGTCAAGCACACGCCCCCGACTGGAAGAATAACATAATCAAGGCGTTTCCCTGTCTTCCCTCACTGCGACAAATGCAAATGAACTGCTGCTTAACGCTAGATCGTTTCTGCTACGGCCTTGTGCCTTGTGGCACAGCCCTCACACCCGCCACACCCCCTTCCACGCCACAGCGAGCACATTTCGCACAGATTTCGTTTTAATGCTTTTCTTTGACAAGCAGATGCTCGTTGCGCTTAATAAACAGAGAAATGTCGGAGTTGAAGCGGCGCATATTCTTCGACTCGCGACAGCCAGCAACCGAGCCAATCCGCTGGCCAAGCCTGGTCATCCTGTTGGTCAGGTCGAAATGCAAGTCCATGGCCATGCGCTTGGCCCCCTTGAGCAGCTTGAGGGCGTCGAGATGGGGCTGAGTATAGTCCGCTCTCCTCACGATCTTTTTGATCTCCCGCTGGGTGTATTCAGCGCTCTCCTTCAAGTAGGCCTTGCAGTCGACCCAGTCGTACTTGACCTCCTGCAGATGATTGTAGCGTTGCCTGCACAATACCTGCTCGTGCTCCACATTGAGCTTGAACGAGTTCAGCTCGTCCAGGCGGCGACGCAGGATCGCTCCCGCCTTCAGGTCCCGGCACAGGCTGTTGCGCAGATATTTCAGCGACAGGTCGATGGCCTTGCAGCTGAGCTGCGCCTTGCTCAGCTGCTGGCGCAGCAGGTGGTTTTCCTGCTGCAGCTTGTATATGTGGGGATGGACCTTGCCCCGCTGCAGCTCCAGCTCCATGTTTACGCAGGAGTCATCCGACGGACATTCCGGCATGTCCAAAGCGATTTCCTCACCGATAAGATCAACGGCGTTCTTTTGCTCCAGTAGCTCGGCTTCTATCTGCTCGAGCTCCACCAGCTCCTCGGGCTTTGTTGACTGGCTAGCACTTGCCTCCTGCTCCTCCTCCTCCTCTCCCTCAACATCGGCATCCTCCAGCTCATCAACCCTATCAATACTGTCGCAATGTAAAGTCTTCGGTGGTATTGGTGGCTCAATTTTTCTGAAGGACACTTGTTCTACTACGGATATGTGGGTATCCTCCGGCTCACAGTTGGGCAGTCCGGGCGCCCTGCAAGTAGGCAACGATTCTGTTGACTTCTTTGTCTTTTCCATTGCGAATGAAAAATAAGAAAACTAGAAGTGTGATAAACAGTTGTTGATTGCAAATTTAATATAGACTAAAGCTTTTCCAAACGAAAAAAATGAGTAGATCGAATGTTGAACTTTAAGGCAGAGTGTGGCGATCCCATAGTAGAGCTTACAAATTCGGTACTCAGTCGGTGTCTTCTGCTGGAAGTTTTCCATATGAGATATTTGAGAAAGAGTCTGGAATTCGTGTATAGATCAAGTTTTCTGTAATTTAAGACATTAGAAAATATTCAAAGTTTAATTTAAGGTATTCTCCCAGCTCTTGTGGCAATTATGGCTGTTGCCTTTGGAGAAGCACGACTCATTAATTTTGATTAGGTTATGCGCAATGTATTGAAGAGCTGTCCAACAGCTGGGGCTGCTAAGGCCGGCGGCTCTGTGTTCTATGCACAATGAATGGCATTTGCGAAAGCGCTTAAGGAGCACTTAACCCAGACGTAACTAACCAATGCAAACGCAAACACACACACACACGAGCCAAGCACCTGAGCACACAGCAGGGGACAGAGGTGTGCTAGAGAGTGGGACAGCATGGCAGGGCAAACACTTGGGCATGTGTGCTACGTTTTATTTCCAGTTCCAGATGGCGACCCAGATGTAGTGGCAACAATTCATCTTCATAATGAACGCCAATGCGAGCAGCAAACAAGCTTAATGCGAATTGAAAAGGACACTGAAAAGTGCATGGACAGGACAACAAATGCTGTAGGGGTTTTATGATAATTAATTAAATAGGCAATCATTCAGAGGGCGTACAAGGCAACCGCTTGACCCGCAGATGCTCTGTAGTTGGAGGCGAATTAGCTTTGTGAATTACTTCGAATGTAAAGTAGACTTCTGCATTTATATGAGATCATTTGTTATGGCTTGGAAAAAGCATTCACTGAAATCGATAAGAAAAAATCTAATTAAAAGCTGTGATTGCGTACCCACTCGCATAACCACGGCGAAATCACAATTGTCAGCGTTAAGCTCGCGCTCACCTGCGCACACGAATGCAAACACCTGTACACGCCAACGCACAAACACAAATAAACACAATTTCCCATCTAGGGGCAATAATACGCAAACAAACAGCAACTGCAACACAGACAAACAGGTGAAACAGACGTGGTCTGTCGATTCACAGAAAAACTACCTAAAAGCGAAAAACGAAAAACTTTCAAAGGCAACTTGTCTACCCATCAGCCTAGCCTGACCTTACCCACGCCCCGTCCCCCACTCCCCTCTTCACTGAGCGGCAAATGAAACGCGCTGTTGCACACAAAAATAACAAGTTTCATTGGTCAATTCATCGAATGTCGGTCACGGCTGCCTCTTGGGCATCGTCTCTCCACCAGCCGTGCATGTGCATGTGGCTGTGGGTGTGGGTGTGGCTGGAGGGCGGGCTAGAGCTGAAGCCACTCAGCCCAGCAGCGGACGAGCTTAGAGGCTACGCAGACTGTGCAACGGTGTAAAGTTCTAAATGCCCTGGATACACGTGGAATGCGCTGTAGAGCAACGCAGTATATGCGAAAAATATCCCCAGCATGTTGTCGCTGTGTGTGTGTGTGTGTGTGAGGCAGTGCAGTTCGACTGACTCGATTCGAATGAAATGAGTTTAGCTTTTGTAAATATCCACAGCTAGATTTTGTGTTGTTATGTAAAAATAAAATATGTCGGAAAAGAAATTTATGAATTACATATGCACATACATACATACGTACATACATGCATATAACATTCATAGTATCAAAATACACAAAAAATGCAATTTCAATATATGCACAATTTTCTGTATAGGAGGTAAACTTTGAATAATCCATATATGGGGATAAATTATTTGAGTTGCAGTCTTCAATTTGAATTGCCCTTAAGGGAGGCTCTGGAGGGGTCTAATAGATTGACACTGAAATAATTTAGATGATTTTCGAGTAGAAAAAGTGATTAAGTGATTAAGTAGGATGTCAATGTATATATGCATACATCATGCGCAATGATTTATTCATGCCCTGGAGACACTTGGATTTCCTACCTCTCTTTGCTCTAAAACGCCTGTTTTATCTTTACTGCATATCGAAGAGCTAGCAGATCTCTAGGATTTATTTCTCATGTTCGTTCATTGTGTTCGATGTGGACATACAATATGCAGAGCAGTTGAATATTTTTTGGTGAATGCTTTTACTGTCCACAATTCACAACCCATTGGTCAATTGAGACATAAGATACTACATCTCAAGCAAAGTATATATGTATGTATATAGTACATCTACTATACAACTATGTTAAGTGTATGAATGTACAATGAGGAATAGAGGAATATATATGTACGTGTGTATGTATAAATACATGTATTCGTTTGGGATACTTAAGCACGCCCATCAAAATGAGGCGCAGCACACAATAAATCTTCGTCACGGTCCCCAAATTGACATTTTACAGCGGAGACCAATAGAGGACAGAGTAACTGACAATCGCGTTTTAGGCAACTGTTGTTGATGTTGTTGTTGCAGTTGTTGTTGCAGTGGCTGTCACTGATATTGTTGTCAACAATGATGGCCCAAAGCATCAGCCACATGCGTTGCGGCAACAACTCATCCATCGTACAACACTCTTCCTTACACACACAGACACACACACACAGCCATACGCAAGTGCACATGGAAACTGTCAATCCCAGGACACTGGATATGGAGCACTGATGCTCGTTGGGCTGTTCGCCATCATTTATTGGCAAAACTCCTCAACGCTAGCAAAAAAAAATTTAATATCATGCAGCATGTGCGTATGTGCATCTGTGTTTGTGTACGTGTGTGTGTGTGTGTGTGTGACAGTAATAGAGTTATCCTGCTGTCGTTGACTATAGAAAGCATCGCATTATCCTCTGCTCCGGCCATAATAATTGAAATCCCCCACCAAACTACTGGGTGCCATCTTAACGACCCTTTGTGACGACCCACTGGCAGCGCTTTGGGGTAATCCGTCAGCTAGTCAAACGCCGGATGGCAGCGCGATGAGCATTTAAGAACCTTAATGCAAAAATGCATTACTCGTAATGCGTCCATGGAAAGAAAACAAATATTCGTGGCTCGCTTGAGAAGATTCAAGAATAACTTAGAGAGAATTTAAGATATTTAGTAAAGATATATATAGAGAATGCAACATAATGACATCTCCATTAATTTAAAAAAAAAAAAAAAAACCTTTACACATTGAATTTGATACTTTATTGATTTCAAATTGAGTCATGGAAAACATGACATACATTATTATTTTACTTTTCAGAAAAACAAAAATTAAAGAAAATAATAATTTTTAAACATAAAAAAAAATCAACACAGTCTCCTCAAAGTTGTTCTTGTTCTCTTGAGTTTGCATTAGAGAAAGAAACAAAATACAGAGTCAAAAGAAAAGCTATTATATACTCGATAAGTTTTTAAACAGAAAATCGGAATATGAATTATGTGTAATATAAGTAAATAACCCAGTGGCGGTATAAAGATGTATATTTCTTTTATGCAAAATTATATCGTAATTTAGAACAAAGTAATCACATACAATACTCGTATATACGAGTTGTCAAAAAAAATAAAAATAAATAAATCACGCCATGCATTTTGGGAAGGTTTGGTTATTTCATAGTGTCCTATTAATTTTGTTGGTATTGTAGCATGTATTTTTAATTGTTAATCTGAAAATGGCATTTCTGAACCAGAAACTTCTCACAGTTGAGTGTCCAATCCGACGACAAATTCAAACTCGCTTTCCTGGAATCAATTAATGCTTACCGCTACTTACACGACAGTCCACCCCTCATTCTTGATAAAAATATATCCAAATTAGCTCAGGAAGAAGCGTTTGTATGTTAATTTTTGTTTTTCGTTTATAACTCTTGATTTACGATCTACGATATATTTTCAGCGCTTATGCCAGCGGAAGGACGCACGTGTAATTCCTTTTGAGGAAACTCATTTATTCTCAAATCTCACATGCCATGCACTGAAGCCCTTAAAATGTATAAGCGAATGGTACAACGAAGGGGCCAACTACAACTACAATCGCCACTCACCCTCGCACTTCACTCTTATGATTTGGAAATCATCAAAGTATATTGGTATTGGGTATTGCTCAGAGTATGTATGATAGCTAACTTTATACGCGAAGCATAAGTTAAGCTCTCATTTTAGTCTACAAGATATAATTCACGTAGTTGTCAAAATCTACCCTCCTGGCAATGGCATTGGACAATTTCGGGAAAATATTAAACCGCTTTTCAAGTATGTTTGATCTGGGTATCTTGTTCAGCAAGTATATTTTTTATCCCCATTTTAAATCCTCAGCCAATGTACCATACTGACGCCCAACTGTTTTGTCGCAGTTCTTTCACTGATAATTATTTATATATCTGTTAAAGCGTGTATTCTCAACCTATAACAACAATTATTAATGGACCCATGGAATACAAGTTTTCTTGAACTTTTCTATACGTCATAATTCAGTACAATATTTACTTCGTTGCTGTCGGGCACTGCAGATACTCTTTCCCGTTCAACACACAAAATTGTTTGACGCTCACATTTCTTACTCTTTTTCCGACCAATGAATAAATAGAATAAATGAATTGACTTGAATGTTTGGCAAGTGTGGTATGTGTGATATTAATTGTCAAATGGCTGGAAATACATTGCATTATTATTACGTTGTAGCAAAATATAAGCCGAAGGGAAATATTCTGGGGCTATATTCCCAGAATATACCGTAAGTTGTGATTGTTCAACGGAACTAAACATATTTGACATTCTATATATCAAACAGGAGGATATACGAAAACAGGCCTAGTATAAATCACTTGACACTTTTTTTAGACCTGTTATACTTTTGTGGATGTGCGTCTCGTAGCTATTATTTATTGTAAGGAAATATCAAGGAAAACAAATATATATCGATTAAATCGAGAACAAAATATACAGTCAAACATTCACATTTTGTAACATATTCATAACACATTTTTTTGTCTGACAGAAATTATCGTTTTCAAAATTTTGCTATGAAATCATCCGAGTTTCTTTTGTACCTATTGCTAATGATGCCTGTTTTAGCCGTAAGACTTGTTTAAATATAGCTTAAATTGGCTACTGTTTCAACTATTGTTGGATAGAATGGATGGGGCTATTATACTCGACGCCGGCGAAGGTACAGAGAAGAAAAACCGACAATAGTAACTGCTGCAGATTTTGACGACTTTGAAGCCGAGCAGCTATTTTGGCACAATTATTTGCGCAAAGAATTTAATGGCCCAGAGCTCAAACTGGATCGCTCTCTCTCCGACGACTGTACAGCGTATGCCAAAGTACGTAGAATTCCTTAAATTCCCAACAGACCTCCCGTAACATATGTGAAAATTTGTAGACGCTTATCGCTAATAAAGGCAAAGATACTTACAATAACTCCGCCGACTACGGTCAAATCGTGTATAAAAGCATGTTTCCAGAGCACTGCTCTCTCGATTGGACCAAACTACGTCGGAAGTATTTTGAAGGAATGCTAGAACCTTATGAAAAATCGATTTTTACTCAAATGGTTTGGAAAAACAGCTCAACTTTTGGAATCGGCGCCGCTAAGAGGTAAAAATGATCCTTTCAAAGCTATGAATGTCATACAAAGCAATCTTTTACAGAGCAGATCATAATTATTACGTTGTTTTAAGATATAAGCCTAGAGGCAATATCGCTAATCAATATAACGCAAATGTGCCGTGAGTATTGATATTTCATTGAAACCCAACATACCCTTTACCTTCTCTATGTAAACAAACAGGAGGAAAATGCGTGGTAGGGCAAGCAGCCGTAGTATAAACCACTTGACATTTTTTTTAGCGCTGGTATTATTACATTTGCTTGGAAAGGAAGAGCGAGACTGTTAAAAATACATGCACATCTGTAAAATAGGATGGCAAATTCTGGTGTGCATGTGGTAAGGTGAAAGTAATTTTCTGTCATAAAGTAACAAAGTATAATTTTTCGAGTGCATGAGTAACTAAAATAATGGACATTTCGAATACAGCTGCAGGCGGACCGGCCCATTCGATAAAGCTAGAACAATACAACTCCCCTTGGGAATAAGCCTCAGTAGGCCGATAATTTTGTATGTATTGCTTTTTTCCATCATTTGAATTTTGAAACAAAATTTCAGTTTCCAATTTCTGGTTTCTTATTCAATAGATGTTAAGAGCTGTGCTGTTTCTGTGGCTGTGGATATCTGCTTTATTATTCTTAGTAAGTTTAATTATGCAGCAGATGTCATGGTTGCCTCGTTTTTTTTTTTTTTTTTTTTTTGTGCTTTAGTGTGTCTTAGGCGGAAAGGAAGAAGAACTTTTAGCAGAGCATAACAATGCGCGCAAGAATCATGGGTGTGGCCCTCTAGTCTTAGATCGAGCTCTATGCCGTGAATGTGAAAAATACGCCGAAGTATAACAATTTATTGAATTCTTTACAATGGCAATTTATTTGTTTAACGATATGCGATGAATTGCAGGAGATAGGACATAAAGGGATTGCTTATTCGGAAGCTAACGGAAAATATGGGGAAAATATATTGATAACAAATGACTACAAAAAGGCTGTTCAAATTTTTAATGCAGAGCGAGTTTTATACAGGGCCGTCAAACCTGAATTTTCCGAAGACTACAGACTCTTTACGCAACTGATTTGGAAAAATACAACCACCCTTGGTATTGGCATGCTTAACAATAAAGAGTAATAATACATTTTTCAAAAAAAAAAAAAAAAAAAAAAAAAGAAGATTCATGTCAAACCTACAAAATTTATTTCAGAAACACCAGATATTTGATTGTTGCAAGATATTTACCAGCTGGTAATATTCCAGGACAATTTAAGGAAAATGTTCCACCATATCAGTAAGTTTTTTCTTAATTAATTAAAAAAAAAAATAGATAATAATAATAATATTAACTAACATCATTATCAGGTACCGTCTCAGTGCAGCCGATTCACTTCACAAAGCGTATCGACTGCTTTGCAGTTCATTTTCCTCGTTAATCATTTTAAGTTTAGGCGTTAAGATGTACTTTTGATTGTTAACAATTAAATTCGAATTTTCCTATCAGCAATTTTTCTATCCCCTCGTTTGGTTTGAAGTGGCGTGTCAATAACGACCTCAATAGGTAAATTATATATATGGGAACAGAGAGGGAGTGAGAGCAAAAAAGAGCGAGAGAGAAACAGAACAAGTTTATATAACAATTCACAAGAGGTAGAATATATATATATACCTCAGTGTGTGAGAGAGAGAGAGAGAGAGAGAGAGAGAGAGAGAGAGAGAGGGAAGGAGAGAGTGAGTTAACATTCCCATTACAGTTCAGAAATGTCTTCAATTTAGAACAGAGTCATATGAGAACGAGTTTAATGCTCTTTGAGGTTTACCCTTCTTCGGTTTCTCATTTATTTATTTTTTATCTTTTTATTCACTATGGTCTCTGCTTGCCGGTAAATACCAAAAGATCTTGCATGTAGGTATCTATCCAAATGTGCTGCTAATGATGATAGCTAGCAAAGTGCGAGCGGTGCCAAGCATGCAAGGGGTGCAAAAGGGGGCTGTTGGGATGGAGCAAATTTAAATAAGCTTGACACACAGTCCTGTGGGGCTGGTGCTTTGGGTTAATTTGAAAACGTGCGATAAGAGAATTCAATTTTTTTCCTTCACCTTCTGCTTTGCTGTCAATGTATTGTAGTGCATGCATATGTGTGCGTGTGCGTATGTATGTATGCGTGTGCTTATTTACAAGTAGTTCGCTTGTGCTGACTTTAACATCAGGTAAACATCGAATTCCCCGTTGGACGCAAAGCCTTAACCATTCGGGGTTGCACAGTTTTTTTCTCCAAAACAAGTGCTATTTACAGCAAAGCGACAGAAAGTAGAGTACAAAATAAGGAATACTACAAGAGGCTGGCTCTGTGCTGGCCCAGCTAGACGCTGGAGACCTGCTTGAGCCAGCTGCTGGCAGCAGCCCATTAAGTCCTTGAGCACACATTATTATTCAATCAGATATGAAGTTTTATTTATTTTTTTCCTTTTTCACCTCGGGCAGACTCTTTTTTGTTCACCATTTGCTTTAGCTGTTGCGAGCACACACACATCTAGATATTTATATTTGTTTTACTGGAGTGTGATATGTGAATTGCCTTTGCCTTCTGCTGCTGCGCAGTGCCTAATGACATTCAAATTGTTTAAGCTGTAGTGGAAATGTAATTTGCGATTAAGGCAGAGGTATATCGCAGCTTTAGCAATAGGTGAGAGGAATTATTATATTTATATTTGAGTTATATGTGATAGCCCGTAAAAGGGAAGCTCAAATGAATCCTGAGCAGCCTGAGCAGTTAATGTAAATTTAATTTCATATTCAAACTTTGATCGAGTGTAACTAACTTGTCTATCAACTTCATTTGGCAAGGAAGGGTTCCTTCCTTCCGCCACCTCCACTCTCACTCTCGTCTACATGCTGATCAGATTTGTCAACGTCATCGTCAGTTCATCTTGGCTGTGGCGACACAGTTGCGCGGCAGTTCGTCAAGTATTTATGTATAAGTTCAACTTGGTCATCAAATTTATGTGCATCGTAAAGGCGCCAAATCGAGGCGAGGGCACTGACAAAATGTTATGAAATCAAATTTGCACACAAAGCGTCCCTAATGACGCGGCTGGCGACAAGCACTGAAGCGCATTTTCCACTAGCCACCGACCCTCCCCGCCGCACACTGTAGCACCCCCTTCCCTCCCCTCGCTCCGTGTCTGGCCAGCGAAAATTGTTTAACAACACGAGTTCTTAATTACGGGCATCGCTGGCACAGCTCGGTACTTATATTGTAACGGCTTTGACCTAATTGAGTAATAATTAAAATGAAGTACATGCCAAATTATTATTAATCATACAAACGAGAAAGACATCGGCATCGGCATCCACAGCGCAAAAGATCTGAGTTGAATGCATTTTGGTCCCAAGTGTTATGCAACAGTGAACGGGAAGACTCATGCGTTCGTAAATATTATTATTTATTTATTGAATAAACTATGCATAATTCTACTACTATGAAAGTTGGAAACCATAATTAAAACATACCGTTATTATTCGCTTTACTTATTAATTTTCTGCTAATAAATGTATAAGTTGGTCCAATGGAATGAAATAATTTAGCATACACACACATATACATACGCACGCATGCATAGATAGACAGTGATGCGCATCAGTTTGTGTATAGAAACATATTTCACCATGAATTATTGCCAGTTGTAGTGCATAAACTGTCGCATAAAGTATGAGAAAAAAGAAAAAATAACTGAGACAAAACACGTTATTCATTGTTAAAGCAACTGCACAAACGCGGGATAAAGCGGCAGTAGACATTGCATCAACAACAGCAGCAGCAGCAACAGCAACAACAACAGCAGCAGCAGCAATGACGACAGAGACGTGACTGCGTGTAGATGAATGCACGGGGCGTATGCGCAGTGCGATATGCAACAAATTGCTAAACAAATCAAATTTATTGCTAGAACTGCGCACGCGAACGAACAGCAGCAGCAACAGCAACAGCATCAGCAACAGCATCAGCAACAGCAACAGAAGCAGCAACAACAACAATAATACGCATGTAAAACGTCACTGAGATAGCACAAATTAATATGAGCCGACATTTTTTCAAGCCTCAGGACTAGCTGCCTTGCCTATTTGTTGTTGCTGCTGCCGCTATCAGAGTTTGTATAACTTCATTTGGTTTGTTTGTTTGCCGGCACTGCTGTGAGCCCTGGGCCCATTTACTTTTTGTTAAACCGTATTCGTACACACGCGCAAACACACACACACACAGACACACACACTCACTCTCTCTCCGACACACACACAGCCACACAGATCAAAAATGAGGGACTGGGAGAGTATTGCGGCCCAGCAACGTCCGCACAGTCTGCATAACAACATGGCGCTCGGTCAGAGCGGAAGTCCGAGTTGTTCGGCGTTAAATTTATGCCCAACTGCGATTCTACGCCAATGCCACCCAAGCGCCACAATGGGCTTTGTATTCTGATTTTGAATCAAATAAATTTGTTTGCATTATAGAGCAACAGTTACAAATATTAATTAATAAGGATTTTGCTGAGAGTACAATGGAAACGATTCTAGAGTATGCGGAGTGAAATTGAGTAAAATTGTGATCTGGCAACGCTGCTAGACAGAGACATCAGGCCCCTGTTATGTGACTCTGTTAACATAAGCAAGCTCTGTAAAACCATGCTGTACCTGTAACAGCTTCTGATGTTAAAAAGGCTGACTCCTTTTCACACATGCCAACACACACACAAAGACAGATTTTTTGAATGCAAGTTTTCAGTTTTATCAGCTCGATTGTTGCCCATTGTTGCCACTGAATTGTTGTTGTTGTTATTATTGTATTTTGTATCTGCTGCTGCGGCAGTTGTTGATTTTTATTTTCGCAATTAGGATGTTGTTTTTATTATTATTTTGTTTTATTTTTTACAGTCAAACAAACTAAACACGCACACACAGCAAACAAGCAGCTATGGCAATAGTAGCTACGCCCCTCGGCCACTCCCCTTCGCAGTCATATGACCACGCAGACACTTATTCATCAGCCGGAAGTTTGCTTGCCACTCCCATTGTTGTTGTTGGTGTTGTTGTTGTTGTTGTTGTTGTTGTTAGTGTTGTTGTTAGTGTTGTTGGTACTGCTGCCGTCAAGCAGGACTTGTTAGTTGTTCGTGGGTGTTTGCCGCTCATGCAAATTGCACGAGTAAGAAAATAAAATAAAGCAAGAAAGAAAAAGCTAGAAAAAGAGCAAGCTAGAAAAGCGCAAGCCAGCAAGCGGAGGGGCAAGTGCGGAGTAGCGTGAAAAGTTGCACAAACTCTATATATTTTTTGAATTTATATTTAACTGTATTACATGGCGCACCCGCAGCCGTAACTCTTGCCAGACCCCCGCCATCGGCCCCTTGGCTGGCAACGGAATCGGAAGTTATAGTTATGCCGCTCGCGCGGGCGCACTCTGAATTATTTTGCAGGCAACAACAGCACGACGAGCAACAAAAGTTTATTTAAAAGTTTTGCGGTTAAGCTTGTTACTTGCCAGCTACTTTTAGCGCGTGGAAATGCGCTCGGCTGGGCTTCAGTTGGCGCAAAATATTTAAGCTGTAGTTTCGGTTAAGGAGCAAACGGTCATAAACATTGGACCCGGAGCTGACGACGGAGCTGACGATGGGGCTGAAATCGGAGCAGCGCGTGTCGCCCATTGGAGACTATTAAAATTATACGGGCCTGGCCCTCGATGCCGTAAATGCCAAGAAGTTGGGGCATCTTAATCAGCAGCAGATTAACTAACTTTATACAGCTTCTTAAATTTTCAAAATTCCTACGGCGCCAGCAGCAGCAGCAGCAGCAGCAGCAGCAGCGGCAGCGGCAGTTGAACCACCGAGTGCCACCTCTTTGCTAGGGGTGCGCCCCTACATTGGCATCATAAAAATTTTCAATTTCATTTGCGTTGCACAAAGACGTGCGTTGCGTTGCCCAACAAAGCGATGGACTGGGCTAGAGGCGTGGCTCAGCACAGAGCACAGAGCACTGAGCACTGAGCACAGGATGCTGCAGGATGCTGCTGGCATATCGCTGCTGAGCACCTTTCAGCGACACAAGAGCCAATAAAAGTGTCAGAGCGGGCCAGCTGACAAAGCGCTGCCTGCTTTGTATTTATGATGAGCGGTCGGTCTTGACCAGACCAGGCCAGGACAGGCCAGGTCAGGTCTGGGGGCTGGCAGTCGCCATGGCTGGGCGCTGGTGCGGGTGACTTGTCGAACAGTGATGCCGCTGCCTGTGTTCTATTGCCATACGGTGCGGGTCAAACAGCACAGTTGGATGCCTTCGATTTGAAATTGGAACAGCGCAGAGCATGGTTCCAGAATTGATGGAATTCCTATAATTGCACCTTCCTGCTGCAGAGCGCAGCAGCAGCCGAGCCAGCAGCAGCAGCAACAACAACCGTGCACAGCTGGCCCATTTGAATTTTGAACCGGATAGAAGAGCATCGATGTATGTATGTATGTATG